ACTTGTGTATTCTTATATATTCATTAAATTCAAAAACTTCTACAACAGAAGTGAAGCAAAGTATTCCTAAAATATTTTTCTTATTTTGTTGTAATAGAAATTATTTTATGCCTACATTATTTGTTTATTTAAAGTTCTGCAGCAGAGGATTTTCACACTTGGCTTTACTAGAGTTTTTCATAGGAGTCATCTTTTTTGTTTGCTGGGAAGGCCTCAAAAGAGAAAAAAAATGAATTGGATAGTTTTTCTGAATATAGTTTAATTTTGATATTTTATGAGTAAACATTGGATAATGAAATGATAGAGAGGTGAGAGTGAAGCAAATTTTTGCAAGTTACAAAAAATATTTATTTCAGGAATGTTCCTCCTCTGAGAAATTTATAAGTGTAAGTATAATATATAAATTATATATTTAAACTCCACAAGGGGAAAAAACAGAAAATAGAAAAAAAATTGAAGAAACAAAAACCTCATTATAGTCAAGATCTAATAAGTGTTTTTTTCTACCTGATGACTTTATCCATGAAGAAATGCACAGATAAATATTCACCACATGCAAGGATGATTGCTATTTTATTCAAAATTTTTATAATGGTTCAACTTAAGGATTACAAATTACACGTTAGAAATGAGGAAGAGGATATGGGATATTGCAGACTTTTATACACTGACTAACATTCAAGGTCCTTTTTCAAACCTCCCCTTAATCTCTGCTTTCAATGGTTGTAAACTGGCTTACTTCACAATATGAGATGAGTTTTTATTTCCTTGTAGTGCAACTTGACCTAGTTTTTAATCAATGCACACGTAAAATGTCTCTTCCTTGAAATTAAAAAGAAAACACTGTCAATCTGTTAGTATTTTCCTCCTTTTATTTCTAAAATAAAACAAAAAAAAAAAGAAAAGAAAACACACCTCTGATTACTTTTTCATCTATTTCATTACTTAGGAGCCAGATAATTCATGAGACATTGCCACTGATATCAGCACAGCAGAACACTAGAATACTAGCTGGATTTTTGTGGGCTACATGAATAATCACTTCAAAATTGCCTCGTATGAATGTAATGCTTTGGGTTTCCATTGTTCTGGGAATTTAATTCAGCCAAAGTTCTCTGACCACCCACCCTAGCCAGTGATGGAAGTGTCTGAAGTTTTACAAATATGACTCCCTCAACAATGCATCTCTTTTTCTTATTTTAAACAAAAAATAATAATAATAATAATGACACAGAATTTCAAAACATGACAATAAGAGATTAACAATGGTTAATATGTTCAAAATAGTTATTCAGTTTACAAGATATAAGCATGAAAAATTAATCAAATAATATAAGCACAAATCATTCTTTTTAATGAACTAATACACATTAGTAGTATAAGTGTCCTAGCTATCTTGTGTGTATGTATCTGTGTGTATATATATATTTTTTTCTTTTCCCTTTCTTCTTTTCTCCTTTCCCCCATCCCAGTTGTTCTTTCCTTTTGAGAAGTCACTTCTCCTTTCACAACACCTATTTTACATTTTGGATCTTATTTACTCTCTCAGTTTCTTACATTAGGGAGACAATATGATGTTTACACATGTGAGTCTGATTTATTTCGCTTATGAGCATAATCTCTAGTTGCATCCATTTACCTATAAAAGCCTCAAGTTTATCCTTCTTTATAGCTGAGTAGTACTCCACTGTATAAAAAGACCACATCTTTTTTATCCATTCCTTAGTGGATGGGCATTGGGGTTGTTTCCAGGATTTAGTTACTGCCAATTGTGCTGCTATAAATACGGGTGCAAATATCGCTGTGGTATGATATTTTTAATTCTTCTGGAAAAATACCCAAAAATCAAAAAGCTGGGTCAAATGGTACCTCTAATCCTAGTTTTTCAAGGAATCTTCACACTGATTCCCACAGTGGCTCTACGAGTCTACACTCCCACCAACAGAGGAAAAGGCTTCCTTTATTCCCCACAGCCCCTCAAGCATTTGTCACTGGTTGATTTCTTGATAACAGCCATTCTTTCTGGGATGAGGTGGAATTTCAGTGCTGTTTTAATTTGCATTTCTTGAATGAGCAATAATATTGAACATTTTTTCATATATTTATTTGCCATTTGTACTTCTTCATCTGAGAAGAGCATATTCATCTCAGATGACCATTTTTGGATCGGGTCTTTGAATTTTGGGGGCTTGAATTTTTTTCAGTTCTTTATATCTTCCAGGTAGAAGTCCTCTGTCTGAGGGAAAGTTGGTTTAAATTTTTTTCCCACTCTGCTTTTTCTTTTCACTCTGTTGGTGATTTCTTTTGATGTGCAAAACTTTTTAACAGGATGATGTTCCAGTTGCTGATTCTTTAAAGTATTTTGCACACAGTTTGGTTTTTGTTCATGAACTCTCTGCCTACCCCTATGTCTTCAAGATTTCTTTCTTTTTTTTTTTTAAAGTATTTTTTTGTTTTTTTTTTTGTTTTGTTTTGTTTTTTTTTCTGGTACTGGGAATCGAACTCACGACCTTGCGCTTGCCAGGCAGGCGCTGTGCCACTGAGCTAAATCCCCAGCCTGTCTTCAAGATTTCTACTGGCTTTCTCTTCCAGTAGATATAGTGTTTCTGTTTTAATATTTAGATCTTTGATCTATGTTGGCTTTAACTTAGTGTGTGGTGATAGGGAAAGCCAGTTTTCCAGCACCATTTAATAAAGAGGCTATCTTTCTTCCAGTGAATATGTTTGGATCCTTTGACAAAGATAAGATGACTAAGTGTGTTTGTAATTGTGTTTGCATTTTCCAATCTGTTCCATTAATCCTCAGATCTGTTTTCTAGATATTACCATGCTGATTTTATCACAGTAACTTTTTTTTTTTTTTGGTCTTTTTGAGACAGTTCAGGCTGGACTTGAGGTCACTTTGTAGCCCAGGCTGGTCTTGAACTCTCAACGAGCCTCTTGCCTCAGCCTCCTGAGTGCTGGGATTACAAGCATGCACCACCACACCTGGCCACAGTAGCTTTGGAGTATAATTTCAAGTGAAGGATTGTGATGCCTTTTGCCTTCTTATTGTTGCCCAGGATTACCTTTGCTATTCTAGGTCTCCTCTGTTTCCAAATGAATTTTAGGAATGTTTTCCCTAGATCTGTGAGGTATGTTAATGGTATTTTGATTGGGATTGCATTAAATCTGTATAACAGTTTTGGAGTATGACCATTTTTACAATGTTGGTTCTTTCTCTCCATGAGCAAGGGACATCTTTCCATTTTCTGATATCCTCTTTGATTTCCTTTTTCAGAGTACTATAATTTTCATTGTATGGATAGATCTTTTGCTTCTTTTGTTAGATTGATTCCTATGTATTTCATTTTTTTGGACATAATTGTGAAGGGTGTTGTTTTCCTAATTTCTCTTTCAGTGAGTTCATTATTTGTATACAAGAATTTCTGAATGCCACAGTAAAATGCTTGTCCCAGGATTCCTAGGAAAACTGAGATCAGAGATAGAGAAGGTGATATTTAGATAATGGCCTGATGTAGTACATGTCGGTTGAGACCTTTACAATATATCTAACACTCTGTACCTCCAGACTTCTTCAGTAGAAGATGGATCCTACCTTTTGTCCTCTTTGATGATAGCCCCTTGCAATTCAATATTATTTAACAAACTTAGAATGTTATCTTCCTCTTTCTAGGTATTCAAGATTGCATTCAGTCTCAACCACTTCATGACCATACCTCAGTGTCTTGTGGACATGCTATTTTATAACGAATTACATATATTCTGCATATAAAATTGTGCATTTCCACTGATGTGTATACTTTTTTATTCCTCAATTTGCTTTACTTTACCATAATTACTTTATGTTTTAATGAAAGTATTTCCATGGCCAGAATCACAACATGGACATAGAACTCATTGTAATTTCATTCATCAAATAAAACTATGCCATGAGTCCCAAAATTATAGCACCATCATTTTGGCCTGTTTATTCCTTAATGGAAGAAAATATATAATAAAAAACAGATTAGGTAAATGAAGTGGGCTGGCTTTCACTGATATTGAGTCATTTTTGTGGCTATCTGGCTATATTTGTGCTGTTTCTAGAGAAGGATAGAAAAAAGTTGCTTAAAATATTCTGTTAAGAAGCAAAAAGTGATGAATGTCACCTAATTATGAATCATAGGAAAATATTAATAATTTAGCTTACTTGCTTTTATTTTAGGAAATAATGTATGAGTCAATCAAATCTCTTATCTATATGAGTGAGCACATCGGTCACTCCATGAAGAAAGGGAAGCGTTTTGGGGCTGAAGGATTGTGTTGTTCCTGCCGTCTGAAACTTTGAAACTATAGAGGAAAACAAGAGAAACACTTGAAGTTATAATTACAGGGAAAGACTTCCTGAACAGGCATCTAAAAGCACAGGAAATGATAACAAGGAACACTCAATAAAACTTCATCAAATCAAAAAGCTTTTGCCCAGCAAAGGAAAGCATGGTGACAAAAGAGGCTACAAAATGGGAGAGAAATTTTCCAGCTCCTCCTGACAGAGAAACATATCTGAATGTGTGCAGAACTCAAAAACACCTCAAATGACTCAATCAATAAATGGGCATATGAATTGAGACATTTTTTCAAAAGAATGAGTACAAATGAGTATATTTTTCTGTCTCAAGTCTAGAGTAACATAGAAGTTAACCTAAATGCATATATTTTACATTAAATATTTCTCTTCTAGGGGCTGGGGATTTAGCTCAGCGGCAAAAGCTCCTGCCTGGCAAGCGCAAGATCATGAGTTCGGTTCCCGGTACCAGAGAAAAACAAAACAAAACAAAAAAACAAACAAATATTTCTCTTCTAAACTTCTCTAATTTTCCTACAATAGGTCCCTTGAGGTGTCAGGGGCCACAGGTGAACACACCATGATTTATATTACACGTATCCATGATCATGAAGTAGGATGACAGCGGCACTGTCAGAAACATAAATTTGAAACTAATTAAAACTTGCCTTTGCTATTCCTTAGATCTAGACGGTTTGGATCTACTTAGTTTATTCAGGGCCTCTTTCACATCCTTATTCCTCAAGCTGTAGATCACCGGATTCAACATGGGGAACACCACAGTGTAAAATGTAGAAACAATTTTGTCCCTGTCCAAAGAATAGCTAGATCGGGGCCGAGCGTAGATGTAGAGGATGGAGCCGTAGTACAGGGTGACAGACACGAGGTGGGAGGAGCATGTGGAGAAGGCCTTGAGGCAGCCCTGGGTGGAGCAGATCCTCAAGATGATGGCAATAATGAAGAGGTAGGAGGCCAGGATGAGCCCTATGGGGGTGATGACATTGGAGGCCAGGAGGAAGAACAACACCCCCTGGTAGCTCTTCTTCTTGCCACAGGCTATCTTCACCAGCGGTGGGATATCACAGAAAAAGTCATCTAGGACATTGTCCCTGCAGAAGGTCAAGGCAAAAGTGTCCTTGGTGATGATGCAGGAGTTAATAAAGCCTGCTCCATAGGAGCCTGCCACAAAGAACATGCACAGCTTTATGGACATGGCCTGCGCATAAAACAGAGGTTTTGCAATGGCCACATAACGGTCATAGGCCATGGCAGCCAGCAGGTAGCACTCAGTGTAGTCTAACCCAGCAGAGAAGAAGAACTGGGCTACACAGCCTACAAAGGAGATGCTTTTGTCTTCAGAGATACAGATCACCAGGATCTTTGGAGTGTAGACCGAGGACAAGCAGAGATCCAGGAAAGACAGATTTCCAATGAAAAAGTACATGGGCGTGTGGAGTCGGGAATCATTACAGATCAGCACAATGAGGGTGGCGTTTCCCAAGATGGTCAAAACATACACAACCAGAAACACTACAAACAAGACCCGCTGCATCCCAGGGTCTGCGGTGAATCCCAAGAGGATGAACTCAGTCACAGTGTGATTGATCCACTCCATGGCTCTGGGTATTGCACTTTCAAGGAGAGAAAATGAGAATTTTAATTCCATCATTGTGCTAAATAAATAGAGAATATACTGAATATATAAAGTCACAGAAATAATAATTAACCAAAAAGTTTATTCATTTAAGAGAATTTAGCTCAATTCAAAAAGAAGGGAATTATCAAAGGGTATCAGTGATACCATTATATATGTAATTAGTATTTATTACATGGCATATGCGATTGTATACTTGGTTTTACAAATACACAGAAGGAAAACATGCTTTTTGCAAAATAACTTCTGTTGAGTTATCTAAAAATTGTATGCTGTATTGTCACTCCTGTTATTTCTAGAAAAGGGATCCAGAGCTACTTTTTTGCCCAAACTAAACACAAAAGTACAAGTCGGAGTTGAACACAAGACAAACAGATTCTACTATTTATCATTTTCTTCTATAATGAGGAAATCTTCATGAAGCGCAGTTCCACTATCCATTCAGCTGCGGCTTTATCACTTTAGAGACAGATCTCACTTATCCTTACTTCTACAAATTCTTCAACCTGAAAGTGCACTTTTATCCTGAATCAATTTATTACCAATTCTGACATCATAAGGAAGGTGTGGCATTAATTAACATGATGACTTTACCTAATGAGAACGTTTAGCAGGTCCTACACTGTTTAAATGCAACTTCTCAGTGATTTCCAATCATCCTGTCCAATGAGCAGTGAGTATGTGCCAAGCACTTCTGTTTCATGTTCTGCGAGAGTCTTATCAAACCTTCCCGGTAATCCTGTGAGGTAAACGTGATTATCACCAATTTACAAGTGAAGTTTCTGAGACATGGAAATGGTTGTGCAAGAAATGCCTGTGCAAGGTCACACAGCTAAGAGTGACAGTGTCACGATTCAGTGCCACTTCAACCAGTGCTCACCAGCTGTGCCCAAACCTGCATGTGTGTCTATAATTACAGTTTCCTGGAAACTCGACTGGGCACCAAGGACAAATGACAGAAGTAAGGAATGGAGCTTGATGGAAAGGAGGGCGTACTGTACTAGAAAAAAAACTGAGTCTTTATAAACCAGTGAGTGCAGCAGGCTATGATGGATTCAGTTACCACACCTGATAGCTGAAACAAGCCAGACTGGTGACTCTGCTAAGGACAGCTGTGTGTGTGTGTGTGTGTGTGTGTGTGTGTGTGTGTGTGTGTTGAGAGGATTTTCACAGGAGGAGACAAGCCTCTGTGCTTGAAGAACAAGTGGACAGTTGCCAGGTGTAGAGAGCACCTCTGACCCAGGAATGCACAACTATCAAGGCACAAATCAGGAAATAGTTTGGAGGGCGGATGGGTTATCAGAAATGTGGCGGCCCTTCCTGGTGTGTAGAGCACATGTGAGGAGCAGAAGTGACATTACATGAGATCACGAGAGACTTTTAGGCCATACTAGGAACACTCCTAAAAACTGTGCTAAATAGTGACATTTTAATACATTTTCTGTAGCTTAGAACAGTTAAACATCTTCAAGTCCTGACTAATCCTCAACCACCCTTCCCAGAGCTATCTAATCCCAGGTCATAGAAGTCTGCTTGTGAGCAACCAAGAGAACACCTTTCATGCGTAACCCAACCAGCCTAAAGCCAGGGTCCCAAACACCTCCCTTAACCTCCCGAAATCAGGCACACATTCCCCAGCCCTAAACCACCCCAGGGCGGGGATCTGATAATTGGAGGCCACTCCTATGGCGCAGAAGCTGTGAGAGGAATTCCAACTGTCCAATCCAAACTCATTCAGGCCTCTCTGCCCTGCCCAGGACGTTGCTTTCATGCAGAAGCCACTATAAGTCTTGGAGCCCTTGCTCTCCTGACTCCTGCCCACCAAACACAAGCTTTCCCTGTGTGGGCCTCTGTGGCACGGCCCTGTGCACTTTCTGCAATAACTAACTAGCCCTAAACCTCCTCACCACAACACAAGTCCTCCTTTCAAATAGCGTTTGCCGTTACTCTCATCTTGAAGAGAAGGAAAAATCATTGAGTCCCCCCTGCCCTCCTAGCCCACCCTCCTCTGGTAGCAAGGGTTGGTAACCCACCAGCCATGCAGGGTGAATGAGGCCACTAAGTAGTTCCCATCTAGGTAGAAATGAGACAGGTCTGCACATCTAGCTCTCTGAGGACTTCTTTGCAGAATGTCTGTATGATCCCGCTTGCATTTAGCACTCTCACGGACCCATAGGCCTGCCCTCATTCGCAGCACCGAGAACATTGAAATTCAAATATTTTCACTAGATGCTCCTTCCCCTTAGAAATTTATTTTATTCTATGAGTTCATCCAACATGTCTTCTGTGTAATGAGGTCTTCAAATTTGTGCCTCTCTCCTCACGCCAAGGGCTTCCCCCACTCCGAGCCTTATTCTTCTCTGGAGCACATCCCAAATGCCTCATCTGGGAACTGACTGGACCATGCAGTGTGCCTCTGGCTGCATCCAGGAAGATGGCAGCTCAGGAAGGGATGTTCGTTGCTTGCTCTGTCACACTGGTTGCTAGTTCTCAAAACCATGTCTGGCACAAAGATTTTGTTGAGTGTTAAGAACAGACAAACCACTCTGATAATCAAGAAGTGTGTGCACCAAATTCACACATTCGTGTGTGCTAACAATGGCATTTAACCCTAATGGAATTGCTTTTTATCCTGCGTTTCTTGCCGTAAAGTACTCACTGAGTCTCCTGCACCGTATATGGTCAGGCACAAAAACAATTAAAGAAACAAAAGCAACCTAGAGAAGACTGGGCATAATCCACAACCCAGCCAGTGAAATATATAGAAAAATTGCATTCTGATGATAGGAAATAGCAAGAGTGACCTTTTGCAGAAAGGAAGGAAACAAGAGATGGAGGAGAATGGGAAGGAACACGGGGTCAAGGGACATAGAAAGAATTAAGGTGTGTCGTGTGCATGTACCAACTCCTGATGAATGTAATCGTTATGTACTGCAAACAAGTTCTCATAAAAATAGAAATTAAAATATAGAGTATATTCGTGCGGGAGTAAATCTGAACCTCAAATTGTCCTTCGTGATGCACATATGTCAAGAATCAAGTCTTCTACAGCAAAGGCAGCCACAGTGAGACTGTGGTCAAGCTGGGAACCACCTTTCCATCAGGACTTGCAACAGGGGGTGCTGCTGACCTGGATTCAAGTCCTGCCTTCCTGCCCGGCAGCTCTCAGAAGACCTGAGATGCACTGCTCAGTTCCCTGAAGCTTGAGTGTCTAACATGTAAAACAAGAATAATAACTGTAACTGCCAGCTGGTTCTGCTGTAAATATTACAAAATAATCTAAACTACTTAGTGGCAGTTCAATACAAGGAAATTGGTCAATAAGTTAATAGCTTTTTAATTCGACGAATGCAAGCACCGTGGACACATTGCTAAATTGTAGCTGTAGGCTTCATCCCCAGAACACTGGGACTTAGACTGCAGCATCCAGGGAAGCTCCCCTCTCTCAAGTAGCCTGAGTTCTTCAGTGCAAACTGGTTCTGTATAGCGAGACGCATTTCACTATTGCCTGTCACTAGCAAGGTGAGAGTAGAGTCCTCCTGTACAGGGTCTGATGATTGGGTAAAATAACGTGTGACCACACAAAGGTACTTGGAAGTTTTTGCAATAATTTTTGAGGCAGAATCAGTTGATCAGTATGACATGCGGGTGCAGACAGACCTGAGCAAAAATCTGATCCTGAACCTCTACAGTTTGATAGTAGCCAAAAATCTACTTAATATTCCTAGGAATCCATTTCCTCAACTGTAATGTAATACAGCTCTCACTTCTAAGAGTATATTTCTTACTAATTTCTGAACAGATTTCATGCAGATATTGTATTCCACAGTATTGGAGAAATGTCTGACATCCAATAATAAACATTATGTGCTCAGCATTTTATATCATGTTAGTTATTAGTATAACTAACAAAGGAATGTAACTGTTACTATTATTTAAAAGAGTAAAAACAAAAATTACCCCTTTTCCCTTTTTCATTTCCATCAGCTATACAATCATACAATTCTTTAGTCCAATAAAGCTTTTTAATGTCACTAAATTGCCTATAATTATGACCAAATCCCATCTTCTCTTGATCTCTATATTTCTGTCTAATACCCTATTGCTTTCAAAATAATTATGAAATTTTTGTGGAGTTTTTCCTCAGTGCCTTGAGAACCATAGACTTGGATCATAGAAAATTTTCAGATTCACAAACACATAAGGAAAATAGCTTGAATATTTTCATGATGTTTCTCCCCAAGCCTAATCAGTGACTTGAAGACACAGGCTGAAGTTTTGCTTAAGAAAGGATCTCCTTTCTGGTTCGAATTTGGCCGGAGTTATGCCTGCCTGATAGTTCATGGAAAGCTGCATTCCTATTTGTTTAACTGTTTGGTATCTTCCTATCTTATAGGAAAAATAAATAATTAAAAGCAGGGGCTGGGGATTTAGCTCAGCGGCAAAAGCGCCTGCCTGGCAAGCGCAAGGTCATGAGTTCGGTTCCCGGTACCGGAGAAAAACCAAAAAAAAAAAAAAAAAAAAAAAAAAAAAAAAAAAAAATTAAAAGCATTTAAACATTCTATGGTTTATTTTGGGATATGTGAATAGAATCACTTAGTCACTGTCTAGGGTTCTTGAGATATTTACAGAAGCTTATTTCCTAAATAAATGGTTCTCCAGGGGTGCTCTTTTCAATTGTGTTTCAGTGAGAGACTGATTTTTTTTGTCCGTTGCCTTAAAATAAATTGTTCTCTGTCACTATGAGGAGAAGGTGAAGTTAAACCTCCTTTTCATTCCCAGGAGTTCCAGAACCTGCCACAGAATGATAGAGCCCTGTGAAAGTAAGGTTTTTAGCTCCTATATGTAGCAAAATGTAAATAGTTGTTGAATCATCATGGAAATAAAATTTATGTGATAATATCTGAATCACTCAACTTACCAAATGTGCGGTGAACACCTTATTCTGATATCCCCAAAAT